CCACCAGACCAAGGTTGCAGAATACAAAGTTAATATAGTAAAGCCAATCATTTTCTTATATACTAGCATAAAATTTGAAATTTAAAACAAAATACCATTTGCCCAAAAGAAATAAAATACTTAGGTATAAACCTAACAAAAAGGGCTCCTGGGTGGCTCAGTGGGTTAAGCATCTGCCTTCAGCTCAGTGAGTTAAGCATCTGCCTTCGGCTCAGGTCATGATCCCAGGGTCCTGGGATTGAGCCCCACGTCAGGCTCCCTGCTCAGTGGAGAATCTGCTTTGCCCTCTCCCTCTGTCGCTCTCTCACTCTCACTTTCTCTCTCTCTCAAATAAATAAATAAAATCTTTTAAAAAACTAACAAAAGATGTACAAGATCTAAACCCTTAGAGATTAGAAAATATTGTATTGTCCTCTATATATGGCTTTCTGCTACACTGAGAACCTTTAAGAATCATGTAGTAGAGCATCTTCTTCAGGGTATTAGTCCATGTAATGAAGCAATTCATTCCTGTGTATTAATTAAATGGATTCAGTACTCAAGGTGTACAATGACTATGCTGGGAACTGAGGTTAAGAGACCAATAAGAGATAGTTCTGACCTTATTTAATTTGGGGTATTGAAGAGGGAAAAAGAGAGTGAGGAGAAGTCAAAGAGGAGAAAAGTTTAGAGTGGGATTTGGGCTTATATTCCCCTGGTTTGACCTACTTTATATTTTGTATTTCTTTTGGGGTTGGGGTATAAAAAAAGTCACCTAAGCTGGTTTACAATTATTTAAAGGTTTCCTATATGAGGCTCTGTTATAGCCAGATGGAACATGAGAGCCAAACCTTGGAGTCACCCCTCTAATGCAGTTTCTTCCCTAAGTAGCACCTGAAAAGAGCAAATGTGTTGGCCCAGAATCTATACCATAGGGTGTAGGACATCAAACCAGAGATCACTAAGACAGGAAAAGTGCTTATCTTCCAATAGAAGCACACTTCAAAGGATTAGGCACATACTTCAAAGAGTGTTTACCCTCCTGTCTCTTGGATGCCTTGGTCTAGTAGCCAGTACTAACACCCCATTAGCACCTCATTAGCCTGGGCTCAAGAATGCTGGAAAATAGTCCTGGACCTAGGAAGCATCCCTAGACTGACACTAAAAGATTCCTCCATTTTTCTTAGCACTTTTATAAATGCTCCAGTAGTCATCCAACCCCCAAAATAATACATGTCTCAGTTCTAGAGTTGCTGTCAGCTACTCATATGTACCAAAGTAGGGCAAATTTTAACATCCAGTATCATATATCCAAATCTTCCTTTAAAAATACCCCCCAAAATAGGCATCAGGTCCAGGAACACTTTGGCAACGTGGGTCTCCAAAATCCTTACCTAATAATGAAATATGCCCTCAATGTCAGATTTTTACAATAACTTGGTCTTTTCTGCTTTCTGTATATTCCAATTCTGGCTGCCTGTAGACCATTTAACCCAACAATTCACAGTACAACATCTGGGATGTTGCGGACACCAAAATTCTCATACAGCAATTCAAAACATTCTTTTTTCACAAAAAGCAAAATCATCTCCCTGAAGATTCTATTACTAGCACATGGAATCTGCTTCCACAGCATCCTGTAAGAGAACTGGACCCCCCTCTATAAATTTTCCCAGATGCATTCCACATAGTGCGCATCAGACTGAACAGCCAAACACACCAACCTAACATAAACTGTACAGTTGCCAGATAACTAACGTTTTCAGAAACTTTGTAAGTGTTATTTGAAAGTGAAAGAAGGATCAAGAATCCTAACTTACTAAGGGGGAACAAGAGTGAGACCTCTTGATGCTATTTTGTTCAAAAGCACAGTATAGCACTTACTCTCTATTCGTAGCTAAAAAGAAAACTGGAAATACATGATGAAAATGAAATGACTATTACCCCTTTAAATTAATGGGCATTTCTGATGAAACTGGGTCAGTGCACTTCACATCTCATGAGCTGGTTGAAAGGTTAAGTTTTCCATGGGATATCAAGTTGTGATTCCACTTGGGAATTCCAACTATTAAAAAATGAGAGAAAAGAATCTCATTTGATACGCTATCTTGTGAAAACACATTGGTAAAACAAATGTCTTGTCTGGGGATCATTTTGTATGACTTAAAATTATCAAATCACTATGATGCACAGTTGAAATTATAAGATGCTGTATGTCAATTATACTTTAATAAAAAATGCTCCATTCACAAATCTATACATATTTTTACTCCAATGGACACATATACATTGTTCTGAACCTTCCTTTTTTATTTGAATATTATATTTCAAGATATTTCTGTAACCACATAAGGATAGCTATACATTTTTCTTTTAATGGCTACATATTATTTCTCTATCATTTAACTTTACTTGGGGTTATTTCCAGTTTAGTAAGCTAGGTGTGAAATTTCCTTTTTTTTTTTTTTTTTTTTTCAGAATCTGGTTTCAGTGTTGTTTCGCAAAAATAAAATGGAAGGCTTTCTCTACTCCAATTTCAGAAAAGATTCACGTTTAAAGTACCGTGAGCCTTGACCTTTTTCATAGGGACAACACTTTAATAATTTTTTTAAATAATTTTCTTCCTTGTAATTGTTCAGTTTGAGTTTCCCTGTCATCTGTTATCAATTTTGGTCATATGTACTTTCCTAGAGAATCATCCATGTATTCAGATTTTTAAATATTTGTGAAAAAAAAACATAAACATTTCTTATAATTTCCTTTGTATCTGGTTATTTTTCCTTTGGTTTCTAATTTTGTGTGTTTGCATCATCTCCTTTTTCTCTTTAATGAGGTTAACTAGTGATTTATCTGTGTTGTTGGGAGACTGATTTGTGTATTAGCTCTACTATCTTTCTGTATTCTAATTTCTTAATATTTGTTGTAATTTTTATTAAACTTCTACTTCCTCTTTCTTAAAAAATAGTTTTGTTGGGGTTTTTTTCCCCTAACTTATTCTTTAAAAGATCATGTCATTTGTGCTTAAAGCCATGAATCTTCTCCTGAGCATGACTTCAGCTTTAGAACCTAAGTTCTTGTATATAGTGTTTTATTATTGTTATTTTCTACATGCTCTGTAACTTCAGTTCTGAATTTTCTCTTGAGCCTAAAACTTATTTGAGAATTGTCTTTCTTGTTGTTGTTGCTTTTAATTCTAGATGGTTGGGATTTTATTTTATTTCTGTCATAAATTTCTAGTTTCAGTGTATTGTGATCTATGACTACATTATGCCCTCTTTTTCTAGTTTGCACAATTTATTGAGGTTTTCTTTGTGCCCCAACATAAGTTTGTTTTTAATATTCCAAGACCATTAGAAATGAGACCATGTTCTCTGATTTCAAGTCAAGGAAAATGTGTGTGTGTGTGTGTGTGTGTGTGTGTGTGTGTATAGTTTAGATTTCATCATCATGTGTCTTTTTAAAGAAAGACGCATGGGTATTCTGTTCCCTGCATTCTTTCACGTCTGAGGTGATCTGTCTGTGTCCTATAGACTCAAACAGCTCCGCTGAGTCTAAACTTCTGATTGTCTGACAATACTTTCCTCCCTCCACAAATTTCCCTTCTTGGATTTATTGTTTCCCTTCTGTGACATTTCATTTCACAAAAGTAATATTGTCTTTAATCTACTTGATAATGTGGAGAATTATATGTTTGAAATGGTTTTTTCTACTTGTGGGCATAATTCCTACTCTGATGTGAATTAGTCATCTGTCTTACATCATAAAAATAATAATAATAACTTGAGGACTCTCTACTTGCCACTTCACATGGATTAGCTCCTATTCCTCTTTCTTTTGTGTTCAATATCTGTGTATAGATCCCATGTTCACTCTTTCCAGGAAATGACATCCTTGAATGAAGAGAGTTCTTTCAGGACCAATTGAGACTGGTGTGAGAGGAGCCAAGGAGAAAAACTGGGACGGCAAGTACCTTGAATTCAAACATATTGTCTCAAAGTACTTTCTCAATAATTTTCAGGCCTAGGTATGTCTCCAGTTACAATGTTTCCTGCATTTAAGTTGCTATACCTCCATTTTTCTGTCTCCGTGCCCAACACGGAGTTAGGGGGCTATCTTGCTGGGGCATTGCAAAGCACCTGTGGGTGTCCATAACTCCCTAACAAACTATCCTAAAAATAATGTATGCATTTTTACATCCACATACATTTTTACATATCTGCATTTTACCTACACATAATAAGTGTACTATGAGTTTCACTGATATAAAGGATGTATAGAGCACAATTTACAAAATATTCACAAAAAGATAATTATAAAAGTCTATAGCCAATTGATTCTCCCAGAACGCTTTTATTGAGTTTTGCCAAATTTGTACCCAGCCTATAGCTGTGACCGACAAGCAAATGTGGCTCTGACACAAAAGTTGGATGATATTTGCAGTTAGTTAATAAGTAAGATGAAAGTGAAGCAGCAAAGACGCACATCTGGGAGCTTCACGCTCTCAGTGGTGACTTGAGCAGCTTAGTCACTGAACCAAATAATAGATTCAAACACTAAAAGGATACTTCCTCAAGTTTTTGTGCTGCAGATGTGACACTGTTCATTTGAATCAGCATTATTAATGTTTTCTCTATCACTTTAAGTCCAAATAATAAACAAACAATAAGCGAAGTGCTAATCTCTAGCATTTGCAGGTTTTCATGGTATGATATTCCCACGACGGCTGATTTCAAACCACCAATGTGACATCACTGATCACAGGGTTGGGAGGAAATGCATGGAAGGGCACTTTCATATAATATTTTCACCAATCAAATGCAATCGATGTAAACACCTCAAGGACATAGATAATTAGAAAATATGGTAATTAAGGAGTGATGAGTTTTGAGTGCTTATTACCTTTGTTTTTAACATTATTGTAAGTTTATAATTTAATGACTGTGTTTAACGATCAACTTGCAAAATTTCAAAAATTTACAAATTGGCTCTAGGCAGCGGACCATGAGCTGGCTCCTACATACCATGATAGTCTTCAGCTGCTGCGATTCCCCAACAAATCCGTTTGCCTTCTAACATCTTCCCTCTTCCTAGTGATCAGCCTGCTTGTGAGGAAAAGGGATATCTGAGTCAGTCTGGGTACACAGCCTGACCCTGCTCCTCCCTGGCCATGTAAACCTGAATTTGACGACCTTCCAGCAGCAAATCCAAACCCCCAGATCCTGTCATTCCTGAAAGAGATCCTTGGTTTGGGCTTTTTAGGACCTAGCACCCAACTTGTAAAGCACGCCAGTCATTATCAGGGGTCAGAGATGTATGTGCCAGCAGACCAAGGTCATGTCAGTTTGGTCCTAATGTCACTGTTTCTCGCAGCTATACTTGGCAGGCCTGGCTTGTGTGTGCCCAGTTTCCTTTAAGATGGCCTTTCTTATTTGTTTTACACCATTGTTATTTTGTATTATTTCAAGGAATAAACTGGGATGAAAACACATGTCCTCTGTCATCTTTTGCCAAAAGCCTGCATTTGGTCTTTAAATGTAAACATTTTCACTTGAGAGTCAGGTTCCTCTTTATAAGCAATGCCCTTGAGATACATAATCTAAAAGAGGTACCATACGAAAATTAAGTATGTCAGTATCAAAATAAATGTACCTCACAAAAGAAAGTGCTGAGCATATAGGGAATGATTACAAGGGTGGGAAAAAAACAAACAAAAAAAAGTCTATATGTTAGGACATTTGCCAATCGTATACAAATCTTTAAAGAACCAGATCTTTTTAATCCCCAGCTGAAATGCATTACACACATCGTTTAACGATAAGAAAGGAGGAACTATCTACATGTGTTTCCCATATAAATGGAAGAGACAATTTTTGAGGAGGGGAAACAAGGTCATTGACTCACAATCAAGTCATTCCAAAGTGGTGGAGTCTGTGGTATTTATTCTCTGTGTGTGGAACATTTACAATTAAAAAAAAAAAAAAAAAGATAGCCCACATCATTCCCACAAAGTCTATTTGCTGAAAGGAAACATGTCATTGCACTGAAGAGCTCCAGAAGAAAAACAGAGGTATGTGATTAACATTCTCAGTGTTTCTTTCTTTTTTAAATAGAGATTTGTTTCAGAACATTTTGAGATATATCCTAATATTTAACATGGGAATACTGCCCATTTGGGTGTATATTTGTTCTTCAAAATTTGCCTCCAAATGAGAGAAGAAGAAAAAAACAATATGACCTAGAGCAAGATAGAAAAATTTGTTTCTGGGAAGGACGTGAAAAGATTCGGGAGACGGCAACACAGCACTCAATGTGAAGCTACTTATCAGGCCGAAAGTCGGCTATCTTCCCATAGGAAGGTGTAGGAGGGGAGCCCCAGCAAATCTTATCTTCGAAGCGAGATAGATGGTCCCTAGAGGAACAACGACTCCATCAAGTTTTCACTCTTCAGTGAAATAAATAATGTCTTTCCACAAATAATTTGCTCTCGAAAGGCAGCACCCAGACATGGGAAGCAGAAGGAATGGCTAAGGGCTGTGGAATGTTCTGAACATGAACAGTAAAGAATGTCCGTCTTTGTAATTGAGAAATGAGATCACTTTGAAAAAAAGAAATGTCTAGAACCAGGGCTATTGCACAAGGAAGGCACGTTTTTGGAGCCTCAGAAAAATGCATTCTCAAGATTAATCTTTACATCTGTTTCCAGAGGCTTCATTCAAAAGTCGACACTTTTGTACAAAGAACAGTCTAGCGCTGTGACAAGCAAGCCGCGTTGCCAGCAATGTCCTAGCGACTCATAAATCTGCGGGACATAGTGCATATAGAGTGCAACCACCCTCGCTACACCCCTGCAACCTCTCCTTGCCCCCGAAATTTGGAGGCTTGGAGTAAAAAGAGAAAATAAAAGCAATATAGAGTGTGAGAAGAAAGTAGCCTAATATATAAAATGAAAGACAAAGGCAGACTGGATTATGCCAGCGAGCCATCTGCACGGCTGAAGGCTTCTTCCAGCAAAAAAGGCTCCACTGTTCCTGAATCAATTGCTTCCTATTCACAGGCTCACTGTATAGGGCTAAATTCAAAATGGCTCTCGGGAACTTCTTGCCAATCCTGTGGTCTGATTTTAGGCTCTCTTTTTCTCTTGCTTTTTAAGACCCGAGGATGTAAGTACGTATCAGTGCTGTAACCTTGCCAGCATTCACTGGAATGAGTCAAAGGGACCTGGCATTAAATCACAGGGATTCGAGCTGCTAATAAATACAGCAGGCCCCATCCATTGTTGATTAATTCTGACTGAAATCTAAACACCAAACAACAAACACTCTTCTGAACTGCACTGGTACCCATTAGTTTGATGTGTTTATTAGACAGGGCTGTGTTCTTTCAAGTTTATTAACAACAGATTAAAAAAACTGCAAACAAATCTAGGTTTCTTTTTATGATTTAAAAGTGTGGGTACCATTTGCTAATGTTTTTAGGGTTTGACAGCAAATCCAAACAAAGCTAAAACATACCATCATGTCAAATTAAGATCCCGGTACAAAGAATTAATAGTTATTGTCAATGCGCAGCTCCCGTTATCCAAGTAATCAAAATTTCTACTTAAGTTTATAACTTTAAGAGTTGTCATTTTTTTTAAATCCATCTCTGAATAGATATTTAAGGAGTATCATAGGATGAGATGTAAAATCTCTGCAAGTGATATAATCTATTGCATACTTTTAAAGATTATAGAAGATATTTCATGGTATTTGATTATAGTTATCAGCAGACTTCCTAGAGGTTAATTCTAAATTGCACCAACTAACACGTGGCCGTGAATGTGCTGTATATTATTTATTAACAGTGCTTAAAAGTGAAAAAAAATTACAAGCAAATATTCAGTGTGCAAAGATAATCAATGGTGCCTCAGTATCAAGAATTCAAGAGATCAGAGACCACAAGTACAGATTTTCAAACTTTTAATATTAACTCTGGCTAGTAAAGCCTGGGTAAATCCTTGAAAATGTCCAAGGTATAGACTTTAAACAACCTGGTAGAAGACACTGAAGTCCCAGAGAGTCTCAAAAACCCCCAATTACTGCTATTTCAGGTTCATCAGTGGGAGCAAAGATATAGAGACATATAAGCCATATTTATAGCCCAGGAAAATTTCCATAAAGTATATTTACCTTAACTTAAGCTGTCTAAAGACTATAAATAGATTTTACTGGCTTAAAGACTCTCTCTCTCTCTATATATATATATGTATATAGAGATCTCTCTCTTTCTCTCTCTCTCTCTCTCTATATATATCCTGTTAATAGTTTCTGCAAACCATGTAATTTTAAATAACTCTTTAAGTAATGTGTGAAGGGGGGAATAATTTTCAAGTGTTGACTAAACAGAAAATTTCTCATCAAATCTAGAGCCTTGGGAGAGCCATCATATCCTAAGGTCACGTGAGGCAACATCTTGATTTGAAAAGCCTTCCGTAAGTGCATCTGCTATTGCATTCACAAAATATTTCAACCCAAATCTGTCACTGCCATATCTGGATTCTCCCCAGAGCTTCCCAGACCACCAGAGCTCAGCTCAGCAACTCCAAAATTAAATCATTACTTCTTTTAATCCTAAATCATGTCCTCTTAATTTTTACAGCATGTAAACTACTAAGCTCTTATTCTCCGCTTTTTTTTCATGAATGCATAAAAACCATGATAGTGAAGGTCGGAAGACAACTATAACAGATCATAAAATTGATTGGTCTATTCAACCCAAAGGTTACTGTTATTACGGTGGTACTGGTGGGGATTATGATTATGTGAGTCAAGAGTAATGTTTGATTTTATGACATGTATAAACAAATCCTTTTTACCAAAAGAAAGCATTATAAACACTTCAAAGACCATATGGTATGAAAAATATTGCTTTGTGTCTAAAATGGTAAAGATCCAAGCACCTCATTAAAAAAAATGCCATGTATGTTTCATCTAGTATAGGCCTCCATGACTAATTGGTTGATAATCAATTGAATAGAGAGAAGAAAAGATGAGGGAAGAGGTGTAAAGAAGAGGGAAGGGGAGGGGTGAAGCAGGGAGAGGAACAAGGAAAGGAGAAGCATTTATTGAAGCATAACATAAATCAGACAATATTTTCAATCAATGATAGGTAATCATGAAAACCGCAAGAATAAAAAGACAAATGACACCGATTACCAACAGTTAATGACTAAATATTCTGCCTCTATCAATCAGAAAGTTAGCACTTTATAAAACTAAACTTCGCAGTGTCAATTTTTGGACAAATACATCAATACAATTAGTGTCTTATCTTTCAAGATAAATGCAGATAAATGCAGAAAATGGGGAATTCTATGAAAAATTCATCTAGTTTTTTTTTAATCCAATTTGAAGCAAAATTCCTCTATCCAAAAAGTAAATGGTATTTTGGGTTGGCATCTTAGGCCCTTAATTATGTAGCCCTACACAGCATTTCCAGATTTATTTCCTATGGTGCCCTGATTTTGCATTCATGTGGTTTTGTTCCTGTCCTTTGTTTTATGTACAGTGTTCTCCCTTCTATATCCATCGTCAATTCTCCAAAGTCTCCCTCAAAGGCAGCAGAGTTAATGAAAAAAATATGAGCTCTGAGACAGATAACCTGATCCAGAAGAAATCTAGATAAAGGAAGGGTGAACAATAATTACATAAATTAGAATATCTTAAAATTGTAAATTTATGTACAGCTTCCTCCAAAAATTGCACCACGAGCAGGATTATTATCGATCTCTGTATTCAGTCAAAAATAAGCCTTCTTGGGGCGCCTGGGTGGCTCAGTCGGTTAAGTGTCTGCCTTCGGCTCAGGTCATGGCCCCGGAGTTCTGGGATCGAGCCCCGCATCAGGCTCCCTGCTCAGAGGGGAGACTTGCTTCTCCCTCTCCCTCTGCCCCTCCCCCTGCTCCTTCTCTCTCTCCCTCCCTCTCTCTCTCTCAAATAAATAAATAAAATATTTTTTAAAAAAGCCTTCTTTTAGACCTATTAATTATTTATTGAGTTCCTACCATATTCTGAGTACTATGCCCCCAACATCAAGGTGTTATAACTGCCACCCTTTCCTGATCCCC